GTGATCTCAGCACACAGAATCACGCTGGTACTTATAGGGAGGAGGGCCCGAGTGTAAGTCAGATCCTAGGATGGTGAGAGGGCCAAGTGGAAAGATAGGTACTGTATCTTTGTCAGTTGAAGGAAGGCTGAATGGGGTACCTGCTGCTGTTACATAGGTAGGATGTATACAGGAGCTCCACACAGAAGCACAAGGCTTCCCAACTAGAGGAAGCCTCAGTGAGGCACCGCACAGGAGCTTGGCACAAGTCTGTGTTTCATTCTGTAGGACCTTTCTGCAACTCCTTTTCAATTGCAGAGTCCCCTGCCCTATGCAGACCCCTTTGCCCAGCTCCTGTGAAACAGACACCCCAGCACCATGCTCTTTCTTACATATGCCTACTCTCTGTCTCTACTCCCATTCATTTAACAGACTCTGTGTAGTTCTGTACACAGGAAAAAAATACCAGATTAGACACTGGTGTTTCATAGTGGCTATTTCTGCTAAATGGTATAATTTAATAGGTGATAGATGCTCAAAAGATATTCACTTTCTTGTTGACTCTGGTTTTATGTATCGCTTCTTTTTTGTTTTTGTTTTGTTTTCACCATGAGCCTGTTTTACTTGTATAATGAGTAAAAAACGAGCTATTCTCAGTTGGGAAAAATGTACTGAGATGGCATGCCTACCGCGCGCGTACCTCGAGGTCCTGCTGGGAACTGTGAGGCTGCATATGGTCTCTATTTCTGAGGGGTTCACAAACTAAAGAGGAAGAAGGATAGGGTAACAGAACAGCGTGATTGGTGGGATGAAGTCAGTGTATTCCGCTCACAGAAGAGAAAGCCGCCCCTCCCCAGGGACGTGATAGCCGAGACTCCTGGATTGTGAAGGAAAGGCAGGCATTGACAAGGAGGGGCAAGAGGGAGTAGTCTGCCCACAGAGACCTGGCATGGACGAGCACTACAGAGCTGGGAAGCTACAACCGTGGGCTTGGGAGAGGGAGCAGCGAGAGAAGCATCTGAGAGGGCTGTCATTTCTGTCATCGCCTGTGACTCACTGGTGAGCTCCCTGGGGCAGGAGCCTCCGTGGGTCTGGTGTGTGCCCAAGGTCTTGCAACGCCAGGTGCTCCGCAGCCCTTGTTCAGTCCCATCTTTGATGCTGCTGCTCCCCCTCCCCTGCCTCTGGCCTCCTGGTTGGCTGCCCAGCTAGAGCCTTGCACTTTGGGAAATCCGATTCCAGCTATCTTGTGAGAGCAGTAACGCCGTCTCCCTTCCTCTCAATCTCCAGAAATGTCTTTCCTCCAGGATCCCAGTTTCTTCACCATGGGAATGTGGTCGATTGGTGCGGGGGCCCTGGGGGCTGCTGCCGTGGCACTTCTCCTGGCCAACACAGACGTATTTCTGTCCAAGCCCCAGCAAGCAACCCTGGAGTATCTGGAGGAAATAGACCTGAAAACACTGGAGAAGGGTAAGCAGTGACCCCACTGGGCTCAGTACTTTTCCAGGGCACTGCGATGCAGGCTTGCTTATTTTTTTTCCTTTGTAAAAAAATAGCTCTTTTTTAATCGAAAAAGTATTACAACAACATTAGGAAAAAATTAATAACACTTGTTAAATGACTGATAATTCCATTACCCTAATACAGTAATTGTTTTTATCTTTGCACATTCTTTTGCATGTTTACATATTATTATATAGTTGTGATCGTGGTTACATGGTATTTTACATTTTAGCTTTTTCTTACCAAAAGCCTTTTTCACTTTCTATTGTCCCTTTAAGTATAATGATAATTACTCCATAATAGTTAGTAATATGGGACCACTGTTGACTAAGCCAGCCTTTGCAGAGAGCGTTCTGAGGAACTGGGCTGGATCTTCACACAGTAAGAGTCCCTAGTCAGACAGGTTTGAGAAACAGCGTGTCTCCAGTTCCGAGTGCCTGATGCTCAGCACAGGATTTGCTCATTGAAGGGAGGTGTCTGGATTGTTACTAGCCCAGGCATGGCCAGTCCTCACCTGTGGTATGGCTGCAACACATGGGGCAGCACAGGTCACAATTTCAGAATGGACCTGCCTGCCTCCCTCTTCATGGGGAGCCCCCTGGAGTCCCTGGTGGATGCAGAGAGCCACACATTTCATGTGGTCCTCTGTCGCCTCACTGTGCTCTCGGCATTGGATCTGGAGCTCGGGGATTTTGGTCGTGCCGATAGTGTGGGAGAGTTAGGTGAAAGTTGGGGCTCACTGACTGGGTGGTCTCCAGGTTGACCCCTCAAAGAGAGGCCATTGTCATCTGTTCATTAAGTGAGGAAGCTGTCCAGGGAAGACAGGGACTGTGACTGCAATTTATGATGCAGGTCACCTTAGTCAGGGACTAAGAAGCTCTGCAGGGGGCCTCTGCTGTGCTTGGTTCAATCCAGGGGTTCCCAGTCTCAATCCCACTCCCTTTTTTTCCATATAAGATCCCACAGGCACATGGATTCCTCTCTGAAATATTAAAAATATTATGGATTTACACTTACTACCCCCTCACTAAATTAGTATTTCCAGACACTGTGGTGAGCACTTTCATATCCATCTAATACCCCCTGCAGCCCAAAGCGAAGCTGCTAGACAGCTGCATTTACAAACAAGGAAACTGAAGTTCAGGGAGGAGGCAGCACAGCACGCCCAAGGCCACACAGCTAGATGCAGGCTCAGCCTGACCAGGGAGCCAGCTCAAGCTGCAGCACTGTGCTACCCCAAAGCACTTCCTCCTTAGGCGGCTTCTACCCTCCCCTGTGGATTAGAGTGCAATTAGCATAGTTTCTAGGGTAAAAAAAAAAAATTTTAATTTCTGTTGACTTAATCCCTTTGAGTACTTTTTGAAGAGTTGAGGTTTCCTTGGCCAAAGTGTAAGATCTCTTTCAGGTTTTGGTCATGTATCTGCCCTAAAGGATTGTTAAACAGTCGATTGATACCAGCAAAGGAATTTGCCATTTTCCCAAAAATGTTTTAGTTTAGGATGTTCAGGTTTTCTAATAGATTTTGATGGGAAAGGGGCCTTTGGGGCATTCAGTAGGATCCTTGCACAATGTTAACTTCCTCCATGGATGTCTGTGCCCTCTCTGTTTCCCGTGTGCTTTTCCCCCATGTGAAATGCCTGCCCAGGCCCTCCGCTAGGCCTGGTACCGTTTATGAACCACTGAAAAGGCGGTGTGGGGTGGGGCTGGGCAGAGATGAGTTATTTCTTAGCTCAAATCTGAATGCCCTTTTCTTTTCCCCAGAACCAAGAACTTTCAAAGCAAAGGAGCTCTGGGAAAAGAATGGAGCTGTGATAATGGCGGTGCGAAGGCCAGGCTGTTTTCTCTGCCGAGAGGTGAGTGCATTGAAGATCTGTTCAGAGAAAAGGACCCTAGCAGGTGGGAGCCAGTGCCGTTCCAGCCGGGACCAAGGACCTGCAGGCCCACGTTAGCCTTTGATCAGCTCCGGTCCACTCTCTGTTACTTGCTCTAGGTATTTCTTTCGACTTACTCTCTATTTCTGTTCATTTAACCACTCACTATATCCTGGGGTTAGCAATGTGCTTGACTTTCCTTGGTTACTCCCAAGCCCTATCACTCTTGTGCTGTTTCCTGGACTATCTTCCCATTTAATCGAGGATGAGGACTAGGTCCAATTCTGTATTCCTGATGCTCAGCACAGGATTTGCTCATTGAAGGAGGTGCCTGAACTGTTACTGGCCCAGGCATGGCCAACCCTCACCTGTGGTGCAGCTGCAGCATATAGGGGAGCACATGTCACACTTACAGAATGGACCTGCCTGTCTCCCTCTTCTTGGGGAGCCCCCTGGAGTCCCTGGTGGATGCCGAGAGCCACACATTTGTTTGTGGCCCTCTGTTGCCTCACTGTGCTCTTGGCATTGAATCTGGAGTTCAGGGATTTAGTAATGTTGGTGGTGTATGTACAGCTGGCATGGGAGTTTTGCACAAGTTGGGGTTCATTAACTGGGCAATTTCTAGGTTGGCCCCTCAAAGGGAAGCCATCATCGTCTGTTCAGTAAGTAAGGCAGCTTGTCCAGGGAAGGCAGGGTTCAGCCATGTCACTTTATAGTTAGGTAAACCGAGGGCCAGAGTGGTTTGGTTACACAGTCAGTCGGTGGCAGAAGACCCAGGTTCTGAGGTCAGTGCCTCACCTGGGGGGAACTTGTCTGGAGACACCTTTGCTTCTCAAGTAGTGGCCTTGGCCCCATCCATGTTGTCATTCCTCTGATTGTCTTCTCTGACCCTGAGGCATTTCCTTTCAGCCTTGCAGATCTCTCTCCTGCTTGTGTGCTTGGGCTGGCAAAGAAGCTACTTAGTGGCATGATGTCCAGCTGTCATTTACATTCAAGGCACTTTCATGCTTGTTATCTCATTGGTCCCTTACCTGATCCCTGGAGAACACAGCTTGTCGTTATTATTCTCATTTTATAGAGGAGGAAACTGAAGCATAGAGGTTGTGACAAACTCACACTGCTATGGGGAGGTGTATTAGTTTCCGATTGCTGCTGTCACAAATTATCACAAACTCAGTGGCTTTAAGCAATACACATTTATTATCTTACAGTTCTATAGGTCAGAATTCTGAAATCTGACACCTGGAGCTAAAATCAAGGTGTCAGCGGGTCTGCATTTCTTCTGGAGGGTGTAGGGGGTAAGTAATTTCCTTGCCTCTCCCAGTTTCTAGAGGCCGTCTGCATTCCTTGGATCGTGGCCCCGTCCTCCATTTTTAAAGCTAGCAATGGCTGGCCAAGTCTTTCTCACATTGCATCAGCTACGACTCTGACTCTTCTGCGATCGTCTTCCACATTTACGGATCCTTGTGATTCCACATGTGAGCCAACCAGATAATACAGCATAATCTCCTGTAAGATCAGCCGAGTAACAGTCTGTATTTCATCTGCTGCCTTAATTCCCCGTGGCATTGTAACAGCACGTATTCACAGGTCCCTGGTGTTAGGATGTGGACATCCTTAGAAGGCATTATTCTGCCTATGACGAGAGCTGAAGTTTAAACTCAGGGCTTTTGACTCCAAATCTGTGAGGCCTCCAAACACCATGACAAGCCTGCTGTGACTTGATTTCTCAAGGCCAGTTAAACCCAAATGGTTCCCAGAGCAACTACTCTGATTAGAACCTATTTTCCAGTGCTCTGGTCTGTGCCCTGGGAGAGCATTTTGTGGAAACTTACATTTCTGAAAGCATGTCAGATGGCCGTCTGAGCTAGTTTGAGTGGCCTGGGGAGGAAGTATGTGACCGAGTGTCCACTTTATGGCTTTGTACAGTGACACACCCAGAGTAAAGAGCCCAGGAAAAGTGAGCAAAACCTTTCATCTCACACACAGGTGGTCTCTGACTGCATCAGACCTGTAGTCCTCTCTAGAGCGGAGTTTGCCACTCACCGAAGCTCTTCGTAAAACCACTGTAATGAATTCTGCTTCATTAGCTCTCCTCTTTTGTTGTTGTTCTAGAAAATAAATGAAAAATTAAATGTAGTTGCCATTCTACAGCAGTGAGTGTGTATATTGAAGGCGAGTGGGCTAAATTTGAAAGGATTTCCTGCTATTTATTTCCAACACCAAATATGAAAAGGGATTTGTTCTTAATTTCGAAGCTTTACCATGACACATGCAGTTTTGTTTAGTCATTCAGCGCATGGTTCACAAGTCAAGGATTTCTGTACTTTTCAGCTCAGCTGCAGTCTCCCCATTTTCCACGTTCACCTTCAGATCTTTCCACCTGTGTCTAGTACCTTCGGAATATCCAGCCATATGAAGCACTGAGAGATACGAGAAATGGAAGACATAGTTTTTAACTAGAAGACACACTTGGGAACTTAAAGGACAGTGCTCAACTTAGTGGTAACACAGACCAGTACAGAAAAAGTCACCAAGCAGGGAAGATTGGAGGATATGCGCGAAGAATCAGGGCTTTGTCCCAGGCTGGACTAGCTAGGGTGAACTTTCTAAAACAGGGGTCCCTTTCTGGAGGGTAGGATTTGAGCTGGAGAAAGAAGGAAGATTATTGTAGTGAGGGGATGCCAACTAAGCGAAGGCGTAGAAGCAGCTCTTCACATGGCCTGCGCCCCGGAGTTTGTCCGATAGGTGCTCCGCTAGTTTGGTCTAGTGCAGGGGAGGGGCTGGGAGGTGAGGTAGGAGAGAAGTGTAGTGGCTGGGAGTAGAAGACCACATTTGGGTGTACTCTTAGTTGTCGGCTGCTCCCTGGGCCATGGTTAGGACACCCATAATAGGAGCCTGGTGTCTCCTTCCCACCATGGAGAAGATAGGAAGCCTGGCTGACCTGACACCCTATACGGAGGCCCAGTGCCCAGCTGGGACAGTCTGATGCTGGGCTACACAGGCTTTCATTGTTTCTGGCATTTTGTCGCCTTTGTTCTTCTGCAGTCAGTGCCAGCCATGCTCCGGGCCTGTAGGGAAGAAGGTGTTGGGTGACCGCAAAGCCACAGGAGTTTGCGCCCCTGACCCACCCTGTTTTCTGCAGGAGGCTGCAGACCTGTCCTCCCTGAAGCCCAAGTTGGACGAGCTGGGTGTCCCCCTCTATGCAGTGGTGAAGGAACAGATCAAGACTGAAGTGAAGGACTTCCAGCCTTATTTCAAAGGAGAAATCTTCCTGGACGAAAAGGTGTGTGTGTGGTGAGCGTGTCAGACACAGATGGGTGTGCTCAGGTGTGGATTCAGTGGCCCAGATTGTGTCTGGCCTGGAGCTGGACGCCGACCTCCCTTTCAGCTGCCCTGAACTCAGAGGGGCTTTCCCAGTCCTCTGAGCATGCTTGGACACTAAAAACGCTATTCTCTCATGTACTACTTGAGCCCTTGCTGAATTGTCACCTGGGAATGGGAGCCTAGGAAATAGCTGAAATCCACTGGGGTTCTCCCACCGTGCAGTTGGGGACCCAGCATAAACCCCTGTCTCTTAATTCATTGCAGCTATATTTTTTACCCCTCTACTCTCACCTGTGCAGGATGTAGAACTGTTAACACCCTGCAGGCATGGGAACCCTGTTCGTCTGTAGCAATAGGTTAGAGTCAGAGCTCGGATCTGTTTCCCTAGGTCAGGCCTGCCTTGAGATTGAAAGCTGCTTACCTGGGCAGTTCAGAGTGTCCCTGGGTGGGGCTGTATGTGTGTGTTGGGTGAGGGGAGGACGAACCAGCAGGCTTTGGATCTCTGTCTGAAAACCAGTGCCCTGTGGAGAACCGTTCTTACCTGGGGAAGGCAGGCATATAGGTTGCTCATATGGGATCTGTCCTCACTCCTCCAGAAAAGATTCTACGGTCCCCAAAGGCGGAAGATGATGTTTATGGGATTTGTCCGCCTGGGTGTCTGGAACAACTTCTTCCGGGCCCGGAACGGAGGCTTTTCTGGAAACCTGGAAGGCGAAGGCTTCATCCTCGGGGGAGTTTTTGTCATGGGATCAGGAAAGCAGGTAAATTCCTAGTGTTCACTTGTGAGTCTGCAGGTGTTGGTGTCTGTGAGTGCAAGACCCCAATGTGGGGGTGATTTTCCCTACTCAGAGTCTCCCAGTCCTACTTCCAAAAAGCCAGGGAACATGAGGAAAGGGAAGGGAGGGAAACTGTCACTTATCCCACACCCCCTCACAGTAACATCGTGAGATAATCTGGAAGTTTGGTGGGCGAGGTGGGCGACTGCACCGGGGAGCATGGCTTATCAGTGGCACTGCTGGGGTCTGAACTCAGGTTTTCTGATTTCAAGTTCTGTGTTCTCTGCTTGAACAAAAGCATAGTTTTTATTCTATCAAGAATGTACTTCTTTGCATTGTTCCCAGGTCATCAAGGATGATCAGTAGAGAAAAATGAAGGGGAAAGAAGGGTTAAAAACAGGACTAATTAGAAGAAGTATCAAGGAGATGTGACGGGAGACACGCTTCTCCCAGTGGGGGTCCTGGTATCAGGGCTGCCTCTGGAGGGTAAGACTTCTCATCGGACAAGCTGTCTTGGGCCCTTGAATGAGGATGCAGAGTAGCATGGGGACTCTAGGGGAAGGTGTGGAGAGATGAGGTGTCTGTGGGCCCAGGAGGCAGGTGGGCATATGCTCCACATCAGACCACAGTCAGCCTCAAGCCATGGTGATGCCCCCACTCTAGAGGGCAGTGCCAGCAGAGGCCACATGGACGCAGAGCAGGGATGGGGTAAAGTGGATGCAGGCTGAGGGCCTGGCGGGAGGACCTAAAGACAGGTCCTTACTGCTAGGCCTGTCTCTGCCAACTTTAGCATGACATTGCACTTGGCCTCATGTGTAAAAAGACAGGGTTGCCTGCATTGGTGGATCTCACTACTCACATTGATAATTGCATATTACTTTTTGCAACTTAGGAGGAATATAAGTTAATGGAAATAGAAATCCTTCCTTTTTAAGCTTTATTTCTAATCTCTTCCTTTTAAACCTTGGCGGCTGCTTTTGCTTGTCTACATTAGAATCTAGTATGAATGGTTACCTGATTTAATATGAACGTCTTTGCTAACTTTCTGCTAAATATATCAGAGTGACTTATAGATAATGGCCTTGTTCTGGGTGCTCAGATACATGATCTCATGTCTTCTTCACAACTAATCTGGGATGTGAGGTATTTTTATTATCTACGTGTAAGGGAATGGGCCTACAGATAGGAAATATCTCAGCCAAAGACACACAGCTAGTAAGTGGTACAGTGGAAATGAACTCAGGCACTTAGATCTGTCCTGCTTCAGAGACCCTGCCCGTAGCCTCTCTTTAGAGGTAGTTCCCAAAGACCCCTTCCACATGCCCTTGCACTCGGGCAGCCTCTTCCTCAGAGGTGTGCACAGCCTCCTCCTCTCTGGCATTCTGGGATTCCTCCCCCCTGCCTCTTTCTGACTTCCCCCAGCCTCCAGGGCAGGGCATGGCTCACCTGCCAGCCTTCGCTTGCCTGGCAGTGACTCACCTGGTGCTCATGGGCTCCCGGATCCTGGCTGGCAGGCGCCTGTTGTTGCCAGGTGCGGTGTTTGGCTTTGGTGGTGCCCCCTGGAGCTCCAGCCTCCTTTCCTGGTGGAAGATTGATGGGGCTGGTAGAGCTTCAGGGACTGCCTGCATGTGTCTTCAGAGCAGGCCGTCCTGCTCTTCCACGTGCCACTCGGGGGGTTTCTCATGTAATAATCATTGTTAAAGCATAATTCCTTTAAAGAAGTAATGTTCTCCACATAGAAAATCTGAAAACAAAACAGTAGAAGGTGGGGAGAGCCATTCTATAAGCTCAGCCACCACAGACAACCCGTTAGAACAGAAGCCGAGCTGCGAGGCCCTTGGTTTTGTTTTTAGAAAACATGTCTTACTAGACTAGATGTTCTTGTCATTTAACAGTATGTTATGAACGTTTCCTCACGTCATTATATAGTCTTCCTCAGTATTTTTAATGTCTGCATGGTGCTTTAGTGGGCAAGTAAATATAGTTTTATGAATACTTCCCTATAGTCTCCACAGTGTGGTGGGAGTTTGTTTTCTTGAAAGTCTTTATAAATAACGACACAATGAACATGTTTACAGATGTTAATTTTTCCAATTTGAGTTCCCAGGTGTCATGGGTCAAAGAACTCTTTAACAAGGATTCCTTGATGTAACCGCAAACACATTATTTTACCTTTCTTACCACCTTCGGGTATCCTGTGCATTTTGCTTCATACTATCTGAAGTGAGTGGCCTTCAGTTTCTTAGAAAAACTAGTGAAGAGAGGGTTTCCCTTTTCAGATGGTCATTCAGCACCTGCCAAGTTCTGACCTCTGAGCCCCACTTCACACCTTTCGGCTTCTCTGTGTAAGCTCATTCAGCTCTCTTCGCCTGGAATGTTCTTTTTCCTCTTCTCTATCTGTAGACATCCTGGGCACCTCCCCTGCTTTATTATCTATAAGCCTTCCCTGCTTATATTTGATCACTGCTGACTTCCTGCTCCTAGAGTGCTGCTTGTACAGTCCCAGTATTGTGATGTAGCGGTCCCCTGACCTGCCTTCCCCAGAAGACTGAGCTCCTCCAGCGCGGAAGCAGGCCTGAGTGCGGCCTCTGTTCCCTGCTGCCCGAGCACGGGGTTTCACGGATGGCTGCTGCTCAGTGTCTGTCTCGTGAATGAATGACTCACTGAGGATTGATGCGCCCTCTCCTTTCCTTTTAGGGCATTCTTCTTGAGCACCGAGAAAAAGAATTTGGAGATAAGGTAAAACCAGTTTCTGTTCTGGAAGCTGCTAGGAAGATCAAACCACAGACTTCATCAGCCTCAGAGAAAAAATGATGGTGTGAAACGGCCCAGCTCAGGGATAACTAGGGGCAGTCACCTCTGTTCATAGAACCTTATGTTTCCACTTATGTCCCTGAAGAGTTAGAAACCCACTTATGCCATATTCTCAGTATAGATCATAATGTATTTTAATATTGTACTCTGTTTAGGCTCAATAAGACAAAATAGCCTCCAAACAAGACTGATAAAAAATCTAAAAAATGAGTGAGGGTTATTTCAGCTAAAATCTGGAAAAAATGAGGCTCAAAGTGGACCTCATTACAAGCATGTGGTGGTGTTTGCGTGCTCTTATTTGAAATGAGTTTTATTTTCATGTCTTTACAAATCTAAAAAAGTTAATGATTGACTTGAAGATTAAAGATTACAAGGTTTTTGGCTTGCGTGTTTTCTATTAATGACTTGTTATAGAATGGTTAAATAATACTAATATTAAGGAACTGATGTGCTCTGGATGCCTTGATAAAGGTAGATTATAAAATGAAATCAGTTTTTTCATTGTCTTCCATTCTAACCTCAGAGGTTTGTTTTTCTAGAAAAAATGATCATCTCTGGCTCTAATAAAAGTATGCATCAGAAATTGCCTGTGATACAAGTTTTTCTGTCTAAAAATATTTACCATAATGACGACTGAATAGAAATCATGTGTTTGGGGTAAGGTGGCGAGTTCAGGACTAAGACTGTGCCTGAGTCTGACTTCATGTGGCAGTGACTGCATGGTGTGTGCATGGGCCTGGAGTGGGGCTCTGCAGACTGGATGGAACACTCGTCAGTGACTCATCCCCAAGATACTGTGATCCCTGGGACTCCAGCTACTAGTATGATAACTCAGATGAGAGTTTTTTGGTGCCTAGAAGACACTTGATTCTGAAATGGCTCTCTTGCAACTAAAGAAGAGTAGAGCCTACGAGGACATTGCAGCAATGCATACATAAGGAGAAACCTTATGATTTCCTTCACCAGCTGTTTTACTCCTGGGTCCTCATGTGCAATGAGTCTTCTTGCTCCAATTAGCATGGCGTTATGGAAAGAGTACCAGATTGAGTCATGAGGTGGGTTCAAGTTTTAGTTTAACAGTGTGACTTTGAGCAAAGCTCTGGCCCTCAGCTTCCTCACTGGTAAAACAGGCATAATAATTATTGTCAACCATTCAGGGCTGTTGATTAGAAGTCATTGAGGGAATGATAAATATTCTAAAACGATGAATGCTTCTTAAACTTTAGTGTTCATGCAAATCACTTAAGGATCTTATTAAAATGGAGATTGTTAGAGAAAAATAAAGCCAGACACCAGTTAAAAGCAGTGAAGGCAGATTTTATTCAGTAATGACTGCAGTAGGGGAGAGGCCTCAGTATAAAACTTGGCTCAACTGGGCTCTGTGCAGAGGTGATTGGAATTTTAAAGGGAGAATGAAGGATTAGGGAGAAGGGAACACGCGGGGGCTTGAACAGAGTCAGGGAAGTGGAAAATTACAAAAAGCATGTTGGGTGGATCGGTAAGTGTGATTAGGCTATTTGTGTCTGCTGACTGGCTAACTTATCACGCTAGGCTTCTACCCTTCCACAGAGACTGGGAGATGGAGCCCTAGCTGTCCTGATGATTACATTTCAGAGGCATGGCTCCCAGGTTCCTGAGAAAGACACTCCTGGGTTTCCTGAGATACACACATATACATCACAAAGAGACAGAAAGGATTCACAATTGTAAGTTTTTTTAAATGAATGCTCTAAGAAAAGGGAGGCCAGAGACCTATGGTCAGGTGTTTGGCTTGGACCGACAGTAAATTCTTTTGGCAGTCTTGAGCTTTCCCAGGCAGGGACTCAAGGGAGGGTGGGTTGTCCCAGCGAAACAGCCTTGACCTGCTAGAAACTATGCTAGCGTTTGTTCAAGTCTTAGTGTAGCGGTGGACAAAAGCATTTGTGCTGAAAGCTTTGCAGTTCTCAAGACAATTGGGACTGGAGTCTGCATTTCTAACAAGCTCGGGAGGATGTTGGTATTCTACTGGTCCAGGGCTCACACTTTGAAAAGCAAAAATCTCAAGAGCCCTACATATCAAGACACTAGTATCTGTGGGCTTTGGGCTTGAAGCTTTAGCAAGCCTCTGACAAGCACAAACAGGTTCCCTTTATTTGATAAACAAATTGAGAATCCATAATAATGCAAACTACTTGGAGAGATGCAATGAAAGTCCTTGTTGGAAAGCTGATAGTTCTCAAATTTGGATACACAGTGGAACCACCTGGGGAAGTTTAAAAAGATTCTGATGCCCAGGCCACACACACAGGCTTATTAAATCAGAATCCCTGGGATGAGACCCAGGCAACAATATTTCTTAAAGCTCCTGGGTGATTCCAACATGCAACCAAGGTTGAGAGCCATCCTAATAGAACTCAGGGTCAAGTTTGGAAGTCCAGCGCTCACACCAGAAGTTACCTAGAACCAGGCTGCTCCCAATAATCTCTGATGAGTTTTGGAAAATGGTCTTTAGGTGGCAAGGGTCAGGAGTGGACATGGATGTGGGGGGATCTCTGGCTGGACCTGAAGATTGAAGGTGGAGAAGATTTTGATAGGTGGTCAGGTAAAGAACGTCACTTCAGGCTGGACCAAGCCCTGAACGAAGATATGGCCGGAGGAAAAATACAATAAATAGTAGGTGTGGGGTAACAGGAAGGAGTGTCTGTTTTGTTTACCTGATTGGTTGTCCTCTTCCCCAATACACTGAGTTCTCAAAAGCAGTGCCCTTTTCACATCTACGACTATTTTAAAATTATTATTTTTTTTTAACTGGGGTGAAAAAACAGTGCCTGTGGCTGCTTTATGTCTCTTTTCCCAGAGCCAGGGATACCATTGGGATGGGGTTTGAGTAAGGAAGATGAGCTGTGTGGAAGGGGCGGCAGGGGTTGTGAGCATAGAGGGTGTGTGTGTGGGGGGGTGCTCTCAGATTATGAGAGAATTCGTGAGATCTGCAGAAACACAGAGGGAAGATTTATTCAAGTAAGAGGGGGGTCAGCTGGGCAGAGTCTGCAGGAGACTTCTGCCTCGAGTCTTTGTTTCATCTGAGGTTTTATATTTTCTAGCCAGGATGTAACTTGCTTCAGCCTGTAGTGGAATTTTCAATTGAGTTCTGCTTTGTCCATTGGGGTGGGGGAAGGTGCCAGTTAAACTTGTTTTCCCAACCTTTGCATATGTTATGTAAATTTAAATTGGAGTCATTCCCCCCTTCCCCAAGTCTCTGAAGTCTGCTTACCCATACCTGTCTTGCCCCCTGGGTTTGTTACTGTTTACCCATACCTGCCTTATTGGAGGGTAGATGAAATCAGAGGGTCCAGACTGAGCACTTTTCAGCCCTGGCTACCTTCCCTCCATTCTCAGTTGCTAATGTCTCATGGTACAAGTAGACAGGTGTGTATTTGTGAGTTTCTGTTTGGGAGGGAAGGGGAAGGCAAAGTGGTCTTATTCTGGTTTAACACCTCAAATCCTTTTTAGGTTTAAAGGAAAAGAGTTTGTTTTGGCATTTGTTTGTCTGTTTAACAATTGTCATAAAGGATGATAGTGGCAGAGAATCTCTGGAATTTGGGGGCGATCCTTTCAAGGACATGCTCCTTCCCACGTATATCTGGTCACCTTTCTGAGTTATATAATGATGGTCCGGGCTAACCCAACAAGCTAGTTAAGAGTTGGAGTCAGTTTTTCCGATAATACAAGCACAGAAAGTGATGTAGATTGGTTGGCCAGGGAGGGCTTCTTTCATAAAATGACATTTGGTGCAGATACCTGAAAGAAGTAAGGAAGTAGGTCTTATAAAGCAGAGGGAACAGCATGTACAAAGGCCCAGAGGTGGGGATGGGATTGTTACATTCAAGGAACAATATGAAAGGAAGTGTAGCTAGAGCAACATGAGGTAGAAAATGAGATCAGGAGGTCATGGTGAGAGCAGTACACCATGTAGTTGTAGCAGGCCATGGTAAGAACTTTTGAATTTTGCTGAGAGATGGGAATCCATTGGAGAGTTTAAAGAAGAGGAGTGACATGATCAGATTTATATTATTCTGACTGCTTTGAGACAAAAGATTGTAGAGGATCAGAGGTTCCACCAGGGGGACCACGTAGGATGCTACTGCAATAATCCAAGCAAGAGATGATGGGTGGAACCAGGTGGTAGCAGTAGCTGTGGTGAGAAATTGTCAGATGCTGGATAAGAAATTGTCAGATGAAGGCCAGAGCTAAGAGAATTTCCTGAATGATTGCATGTGGGATGTGAGAGAAAGAGGAGTAAAGGATGACTCCAAGGAACAATTAACTGCACATGAATTTTACAGTAAAAGGGGGCAGAAAATGATGGGATAGAGGGAAGGTTTTAATGTGCTACAACAGTTACAGTGAATAAACCAGAGGTGTAAGTATCAACTCAGGGTGCTTCAAAACAATGCTAGAGAAAAGAACAAGCTTCTGATTGGTACACTCAGTAGGATAAAATTTACATAAAATGTTAAGGCATGCACAACAATATTGTGTGGAGCTCCATACATATGTGGTAACGTGAAGATACATATGGAATGATAAACAAATGTACAGCCAGGGTTGAGCACCATCTGTTTGCTTCACACTTTGAAAAACCGTACTGCCCAAGCCAGATCCTAGTCTAGTTAAACCAGAATCTCTGAGGATGGACCCAGGTATCAGATTTTTAAAGCTCTCTAGGGGACTCGAGTATGGGGACGGGACCATTGCCTTAAATTGAGAAACAACTGTAAAGTCTTAAGAAGCACAAGAAATTTTCCCCTTTTATATTTAAGCCTTGGACAGAGTATCTGTTTTGAGTTAGGAAAGAGATACCCATACCCTAATTTTCGTGTTGTTCAGCCAGGAAACATGAAGAAACTCTCCCAAGAGAGAATTGAGCCCAGACTGTGGTCTTTTAATATCCGAGGAGCTCCTTGGAGAAATGGCTGATTGTAGGATTGGGGCAGCAAATGTACAAGATGAGCCTGGGACATCTTGTCATAGTAGACATTAAGCAAGCTCTCAAAGGCTGCTACTGAAGGCTGATAGTAAGGACTCAGGATCTACTTCGAAGAAGTCCTCTCTCGCTAAAGATGGGACAATTTGAGCATCTATAGTTGCATTGGATTAAAACATCAGACATGTTTAAATCCATGAGTTCAAAATGATCCTTTAAAATAAAGGAAAATCTTTGGGTGATGTGAAAAAAAATCTAATTTTAAGACCTGGAAAATAAAGATAAGGAAATAAGCATTCATCCTGCCTTTGTTTCTTCAAAGTAACCAGAGCTGATGAGCAGTTTCTCATTACAAAAGTACTTGGAGCCAGTCCAGCCATAGTTAGAATGGGAGTAGTCAGGGTGGCCAGTGGGAGGGGTCACATCCGTTTTTCCATCTGTATTGTGTAGGGGCTGTTTTAGATTTGGTAGCCACAGGCCCTATAGTTCCTTCATCAGGACCGAACCTGGAGTCCAGGTCCCTGTTCACATCTGGTGCTACTGTTACTGAACCCATTGTCTTTTGCATCGGTGGACTGACATCCCAGAAAAGCAGGGTCATGTTGGTCTTCCTGGTTCCC